ACCTGGCCCTACCTGTCATCCCGGCCACCATCTACCAGTCACCTGGCCCTAGCTGTCACCTTGCCGCCATCTCCGGCTGCCATCGACCGGTCAACCAGCCGCCATCTACCTGTCACCCGGCCTCCATCTACCAGTCACCTGGCCCTACCTGTCGACCGGCCGTCATCGATGGGCTGCAGATCCCCACTTTACAACTTAGAAAAACATAGTGTGTATGTGAGGGGGAGGGGCTGAGTGTAAAAACTTCTCTTTAGCAAACGTTGCGGCAACTTCAAAGTCTTTAATTTCTTAAAAACAAAACAAAAAATCTCTTTTTTTGTTCATTTTTGTTGAACGTAATTCAATCGCGGTTCCTTTAAAAGTCTTGGCATCGGGTGCCATGCTGGAAATTGCTATGCATCAACAGAATTTAACGAGATGGCGGAAAATTCCTCATCCTGCGTCGGTGCGATAAGCCACAAATGCCGCTCAGCTCTTTAATAGATTGCCAAAATAAAGCATTTTGTATGCAAATTATTCATAAAGTGGCGTCGCAAATATCACGCCAAAAAAAAAAAAAAACGCCCACCGGTCCTCTGCAATTAGCAGTTAATTCTGAGTATCTGGAAGTAACAGAATCGTGTGTTTTCACACCAAAAGGAGCGCCGCGTCCAAGATGGAATAAGTCGAATAATTAATTCTCCGCTTTATGTTCTAAAATTCCACTTTATGAAGTTTGGATTGTTTTTTACTTTCTGAACGTTAAGTGATTTTTACTTCTGACAATTATTTGGGAGAAGAAAACGGCGACATTTTCCCTTTATATGCTCCAGAAGTGAAATCGAGGAACGCAAATGAAATCTGAGGGGTCCAAATATAACTTACATGTCATCACTGGCTGACCACAGCCGAGGAGCTGACACTCTAATGTCCCCCCCCCCCCCCAGTCCCATCAGTATCTGTACCAGAGGAGCTTACACTCTATTGTCCCCTCCCCCACAGTCACACACTTTTATTATTAGAGTGTAAGCTCCTCTGGTAAAGAGACTGTAACCACTGGAGGGTCATTGTCGTGCTGAAAGTCCAAGCGTGTCCCATGGGCACAAGAATGCAAATTGCCTGCCAGTATTTTCTGATAACATGCATTCACTGTATCCGCTCTCCCCGGACCCCGCATTCACTATATCCGCTCTCTCCCCGGACCCCGCATTCACTGTATCCGCTCTCCCCGGACCCCGCATTCACTGTATCCGCTCTCCCCGAACCCCGCATTCACTACAATATATCCGCTCTCCCCTGACCCTGCATTCGCTATATCCGCTCTCCCCGGACCCCGCATTCGCTATATCCGCTCTCCCCGGACCCCGCATTCACTATATCCGCTCTCCCCGGACCCCGCATTCACTATATCCGCTCTCCCCGGACCCCGCATTCGCTATATCAGCTCTCCCCGGACCCCGCATTCGCTATATCCGCTCTCCCCGGACCCCCCCATTCACTATATCCGCTCTCCCCGGACCCCCCATTCACTATATCCGCTCTCCACGGACCCCGCATTCGCTATATCCGCTCTCCCCGGACCCCGCATTCCCTATATCCGCTCTCACCCGGACCCCGCATTCCCTATATCCGCTCTCCCCGGACCCCGCATTCACTATATCCGCTCTCCACGGACCCCGCATTCACTATATCCGCTCTCCTTGGACCCCGCATTCACTATATCCGCTCTCCTTGGACCCCGCATTCGCTATATCCGCTCTCCCCGGACCCCGCATTCACTATATCCGCTCTCCCCGGACCCCGCATTCACTATATCCACTCTCCCAAGACCATATCCCCCCTTATGTATTATACATGGAGATCATATCCCCCCTTATGTATTATACATGGAGATCATATCCCCCCCCTTATGTATTATACATGGAGATCATATCCCCCTTATGTATTATACATGGAGATCATATCCCCCCCCCCTTATGTATTATACATGGAGATCATATCCCCCCTTATGTATTATACATGGAGATCATATCCCCCCCCCTTATGTATTATACATGGAGATCATATCCCCCCTTATGTATTATACGTGGAGATCATATCCCTCCTTATGTATTATACATGGAGATCATATCCCCCCCCCCCTTATGTATTATACACGGAGATCATATCCCCCTATTATGTATTATACATGGAGATCATATCCCCCCCCCCTTATGTATTATACATGGTGATCACATCCCCCCCCTTATGTATTATACATGGAGATCATATCCCCCCTTATGTATTATAGATGGAGATCATATCCCCCTTATGTATTATACATGGAGATCATATCCCCCCTTATGTATTATACATGGAGATCATATGCCCCCTTATGTATTATACATGGAGATCATATCCCCCCCCCTTATGTATTATACATGGAGATCATATCCCCCCCCTTATGTATTATACATGGAGATCATATCCCCCCTTATGTATTATACATGGTGATCATATCCCCCCCTTATGTATTATACATGGAGATCATATCCCCCCTTATGTATTATACATGGAGATCATATCCCCCCCTTATGTATTATACATGGAGATCATATCCCCCCCTTATGTATTATACATGGAGATCATATCCCCCCCCCTTATGTATTATACGTGGAGATCATATCCCCCCTTATGTATTATACATGGAGATCATACCCCCCCTTATGTATTATACATGGAGATCATATCCCCCCTTATGTATTATACATGGTGATCATATCCCCCCCTTATGTATTATACATGGAGATCATATCCCCCCCTTATGTATTATACATGGAGATCATATCCCCCCTTATGTATTATACATGGAGATCATATCCCCCCTTATGTATTATACATGGAGATCATATCCCCCCTTATGTATTATACATGGAGATCATATCCCCCCCTTATGTATTATACATGGAGATCATATCCCCCCTTAATCTCCTCTTCTCAGTAGAGAATACATTCAGTTCCTCTAATCTTTCCTCATAGCTGATCTCCTCCATGCCTCCTATCAGTTTGGTTGCCCTCCTCTGTACTTCCTCCAGTTCCCCAATGTTCTGTTTGTGAATTGGAGCCCAAAACTGAACTGCATATTCCAGATGAGGTCTTACTAATGATTTTAAAACGGGGGGGGGGGGGGGGGGAGGTGTGATATCTCTCTCTCTGGAGTCTATACCTCTCCCAATACAAAGGATTTTGCTTGCTTTATAAATATGAAAAATAAACATGAAAAATTCAAACTAAATAAGTGACTTCCACTACCTGACCTAATGCAGCACCAGAAGCAACGGGGGACTCCTTTCACCCAACAGGAAGACTGCACACCGGCCACAAGCTCTGGTGGGTGGGGCGAAAGGCATCAGAGGGTGTGGCCAGAGTGGGGGCTAAGGCTATTCCTTAACATTGGACCCCTGTGGTCGGTTGAGTTGCGTCCATCCCTTCACAAGGAGATGCTAAAGATATGAGCAGCAATAAGAGCTTTCACCACAATCCTGGCAGAGGCGTAACTAGAATTTGCAGGGCCCCAGTTGAAGAAACCATAAATGCCCAGGGCCCAGTTGTGAGACCTTTGCAACCCTGGTAGTTCCACCACTGGTATCAGTAGGTTTTTTTTTTTATACTTGTTATATTTTTTTTTTTTTTTTTACCAGATATGATTTTTTTTAACAATTGTTTTTTTTAGGAGCCCTGTTGGAGGGATTTGGTAAGATATCAGGGGTCTAAGACATCTGATGTTTCACCTTTTGAGATGGAGAAAGGAGATAGAGTACATAGCCCTCAATCTCCTCTGCATCCTCAGCGGCAAAGAATGAATGGACAGGAATAGCTCTGGTTAGAATTTCCCGTTCATTCACAAAAGGAAGCATAGAGAACATAGCCTCAGCTATGAATGAACAAAGTCAGTGATCTGTACCAATCACTGACTCTATTCATTTAGACACATTTACCGACCCCTTCCCCTCTCTCCATACTGACGTATCCCCCACAGCAGCCAGAAGAAGAGGGGAGGGAGAAGCCACGCAGCACTGCGGGGGTGGGGGTAGCATACAGGAGCCAGTGGGAGGTGGATGGGAGGGGCAATATGTAGAGGAACCCTCCAGGGGAATTAGAGGGGTTTGGTTCTTCCATATGCCCCCCCCCCCCCCCCCCCCCCCCCTATCCAGATGTACCCCCCCCCCCCCCCCCCCCGCCTATCCAGATGTACGGAAGCCGGGTCCTAACGGTGTTTACATATATTACTATTGTAATTCAGATATTTGGATACATCCGAATAACAAAAATTGCATCCGAATTTCAATTCGAAACAAAACCGTCCAGTACTGACCTCGGCCTGCTGCCAGACCACACTTGTGCCTCATCATGCCTGACCCCGGCTCATCCTGACAGGTTTCTGACCCTGGTAGTCACCTGCTGCCGAGCTGTTGGCACCCGTGCTTCTTTGAGCCTTGTACCTCTATTGCCGCATTCAGGGGTGCTGGGACCAGAGCTGCAAGGGACCCCACCCCCTCCCACCAAGGTACTTGACACTGATACTCGGCTGGTTCGGAAATGTGTTTATAGCATTTACAGGGGGGGGTCAGCATAATTACATTAACATGTTGGATTCAACCCTTTCATGCTCCATTCAAAACTTAAAAAAATAAATGTTGGCTTTACATTCACCTGTTGTCACTGGGTGTATGTGCTTCTCTATGCAATGCAGGAAGATCATGACTTGTGGGAGGGATGCTGTACATAGCTTCCTGACGACATCCCAGCGCCCCGCCTCAGTACTCTTCTCAACAGCCCTCAGCTCTGATGCAAGCCGTGGGAGGAGTTACGGCAATATCAAAATGCCTTGATGGGCGGGTGTCAGTCGGGAGGAGTGGGCGTTCCTAGGCAGGGCGTATTTGCATGGGTAACGCCCACCTGTAATGCTGAGCCTCCATGATTGAAAGAACTGAAATGCAATGAGTGAAAGAGGCAGGGCCAATGGAAGGGGAGGAGCCGTTACACCTGTGCAAGACTGAAGGGGAGGAGCCGGTACACCTGTGCAAGACTGGAGGGAAGGCGTCTGTACACCTGTGCAAGACTGAAGGGGAGGAGCCGGTACACCTGTGCAAGACTGAAGGGGAGGAGCCGGTACACCTGTGCAAGACTGAAGGGGAGGAGCCGATACACCTGTGCAAGACTGGAGAGGAGGAGCCGTTACACCTGTGCAAGACTGAAGGGGAGGAGCCAGTACTCCTGTGCAAGACTGGAGAGGAGGAGCCGTTACACCTGTGCCAGACTGAAGGGGAGGAGCCGGTACACCTGTGCAAGACTGAAGGGGAGGAGCCGGTACACCTGTGCAAGACTGGAGGAGGGGAGGAGCTGGTACACCTGTGCAAGACTGGAGGGGAGGAGCCGATACACCTGTGCAAGACTGGAGAGGAGGAGCCGTTACACCTGTGCAAGACTGAAGGGGAGGAGCCAGTACTCCTGTGCCAGACTGGAGAGGAGGAGCCGTTACACCTGTGCCAGACTGAAGGGGAGGAGCCGGTACACCTGTGCAAGACTGAAGGGGAGGAGCCGGTACCCCTGTGCAAGGCTGAAGGGGGAGTAGCCGGTACCCCTGTGCAAGGCTGAAGGGGAGGAGCCGGTAACCCCTGTGCAAGGCTGAAGGGGAGGAGCCGGTACCCCTGTGCAAGGCTGAAGGGGAGGAGCCGGTACCCCTGTGCAAGGCTGAAGGGGAGGAGCCGGTTCACCTGTGCAAGGCTGAAGGGGGAGGGGCCGGTACACCTGTGAAAGACTGGAGGGGAGGAGCCGGTACACCTGTGAAAGACTGGAGGGGGAAGGGCCGTAACACCTGTGACAGACTGGAGGGGGAGGGGCCGGTACACCTGTGACAGACTGGAGGGGGAGGGGCCGGTACACCTGTGCAAGACTGACGGGGAGGCTGGAGTTCGACTATAACGTGACAGGTTGCATTATAGGAGTTGTAGTGAATGCGCCATTTTTCTTGGGGATCATTGAACTGCCGGATACTAACAGCGAATATTTCATAGGAATTTGGACTCTTTGTAACAACTTGTAGCATCAGCCGTACTATAAATGTGACAAACGTTCCTGAGACCCAGAAAGAAATACAGGAAATCCAAATGTAGCAACAAATACAGTATCTCCGATAAAAGAATAAATGCCGCAAATCTTTTAATGTGTCAAATGGTCAAAAAAAAAACGATTATTCGCCATCAAATAAATCTGCCCCCCCCCCCCCCCCCCGGTGCCGGTGCTTTCGGTGCCGGATCCATATTTCCCTCCCAGCCGAAGAGCCAAATTCTATTTTCACTTCAAAGTTCTCCCCGTGTTTTCAGATCCGTCCCGGGTGAGCGGGTTTTGGCTGCAGCTACAAACGTCGCATTTATCAAAGAAAACCTCTCGGTGTTTTTTAAACCAATCATTTGATTTAATTTTCAAGTTAAATGGGATCTCCGCCGTCTAATGTGCAGCCGTAGATTGGCTTGGCCCCAATCCTGCATTAACAAGTTGTCATTGAAATTCGGAGTTTGAGGGGAAAAAAAAAAAAAAAAAAACAAAATCTGGCTGAAACACAGAATCGGTCTTGATGGCTCGTTGCGTTAAATAGCAGCCGAGCAAACAAACCGTCCGAAACAATACAACATAAACCGGCTATCAATTTCACTAAACGCTCCAGCATTCCCGCTCCCTGCCCGTTACAACTCCAGCGCGGAATTAAAGGCGGCTGGCGGAGGGCGATAATGCCGGCGCATTGTTCTCCTACATATGGCGGAGCGATAAGGGCCGTCTGCTCTCAGATGATAATGGGAATTGGGCAGACGGAACGCCGTCAGTTGAAAATTTCTCGGGTCTCTGAAAGAACTTCTATTAAGCCAAGTGACCCCAATTGAATATTAATTAGCTAATTAACAGATTTATTGTTCCTCATAATTTCTAGAGAGGCTGTTTCTGGGGTTTTTTTTTTTTTTTTAACTTCAAGTGCCAATTTTTTTTTTTTTTCAAGGCCTTTTTGCTTTGTGTATAATTGAATCCATGCTTCTGCCAGCAACTTGTTCTCTCCCTTTCCATCGCTCCCCCTCCCCCACTCTCATTTCCTATATCTCCCTTATCTCTTCTTTCTGGCGCTACCTTATTCTGGTTTCTTTCCAAGTACCCCCCCCCCCCCCTCCACCACCCACCTCTGTTCAACATGTTCTCTGTGTATCTTCTCTACACCCCCCCCCCTTCTCTTTTCCTTTTCTCTCCTCTCTTTTTCTGTCCCCTCTACTCTCTACTCTCTGATCTCACTTTCTGCTCTCCGTTATCTCCTCTTTCTAATGTTTCCGGTTTTCTCTCTTTGTTCTCACTTTCTTTTCATATTTATCCCCTCTCCTCCTTCTCTCTTTTTTTTTCTCTTTCTTTCATTTTCACTCTTTTTCTTTCTGTCTCTTTCTTTCTCTTGCTCTTTCCCTCTTCCTCCCTCCCTCTCCCTCCCCCTCCCCCTCCCCTCTCTCTCTCCCTCTCTTCCTTTTCTCGCTCTTTTTCCCTCTTCCCCCCTCTCTCTCTCCCTCCCTCTCTGCCTTTTCTCTCGCTTTCTTCTTTTTTCCTCCTGTTCTTTCTCTTCTCTTCTCTCTCTCTTTGTCCCCCCTCTCCCTTTTGCTCTCCCTCCCCCCCTCTTTATCTCCCCCCTTCCTCTCTCCCCCCTTTCTCTCTCTCTCTCCCTCTCTCTCTCTCACTCTCTCTCCCCTCTCCTCGCTCTCCCTCTCTCCCCTCCCCCTCTCTCCTCCCTCCCTCTCTCCTCTCCCACCCTTTTCTCTCTTCTCTCTCCCCCCACCCCTCTCTCTCTCTCCCCTCTCACCCTCTCTCCCCTCTCTCCCCTCTCTCCCTCTCTCCCCCTCCCTCCTCTTCCCCCCCCTCTCTTCTCTCTCTCTCTCTCTCTCGCTCTCTCTCCCATCTCTCTCACTCTCCCCCTCCCTCTCTCCTCCCCCCTCCCTCTCTCCCCCCCCACTCCTCTCTCTCCCTCTTCCCCCTCTCTCTCCCCCCCTCTCTCCCTCTCTCTCCCTCTCTCTCCCTCTCTCTCCCCCCTTCTCCCTCTCTCTCCTTCTCTCGCTCCCCTTCTCTCTCCCCCCTCTCTCTCCTTCTCGCTTCCCCCCCTCTCCCCCCTCTCCTTCTCTCTCTCCCCTTCTCTCTCTCTCTCTCTCTCTCTCCCCTCTCTCTCTCTCACTCTCTCCCCCCCTCCCCCTCCCCCTCCTTCTCTCTCTCTCTCCTGTCTCTCTCCCATCTCCCCCCCTCCCCCCTTCTCTATATCTCCTTCTCGCTCCCCCCTCTCTCTCTCCTCTCTCTCTCTCTTTCCCCCCTCTCTCTCTCTCACTCCCTCTCTCTCCACCCCCACCTCCCCTCCCCCTCCCCTCCCCCTCTCTCTCCTTCTTGCTCCCCTCTCTCGCTCCCCTTCTTTCCCTCTTTCTCTCTCTTTCTCTCTTTATCTTTTTCTCTCCCCTTGCTCTCTCCTCGCGCTCTCTCTCCCTCTCTCTCTCTTTCTTTCTCTCCCTCCCTTCTCTCCCTCTCTCTCTCTCCCTCCCTTGCTCTTCCCTCTCTCCCCCCCCTATAATTTTATGCCGGAGGAAGGCTCTGCAGGTCCTCTATCAGTATTCAGTTGGTTGCCCGCAGGGTGTGATGGAGTCTTTGTATTTTGGATGTTTGTAGTGCAGCCAAGTTCTTTGCCAATCACGTGGCGGTTTTGTCAGGGAAGCAGTAAAGGAACAAATGCAGCTTTAGCGCCTGCGGCTGCCTCTGTGCGGCTGGGGAGCTCAACATAAACTTTATTTACAGAAAATGCGTTTTTTTGCGTTCATGGATCACGGCGCAATCTAACAACTTAATCCTCTCCCGCTACATTTTGTAGACAAATCAGAAATCCCGAAGAATTCTCTGTTTATTTAACCTTCCGGAAAATGCGATGCAGAAAACATTTACAAACCCGCTTCTGCGAAAGAATTTAAACTATAAATTCGGGCAACTAAAATGGGAAATGAATTGGCGCCGACGAGCATCGCGGCGAAAAATAGTCACTTCACAAGTATTCTTTTTGTTCAAAAGTCTAAAAAGTTTGAGTGCAGCTCTGCGCCCCTCCGCCCTTGCGTTCGGCGACTCTTTTAATTCGATCAATTCGGTCAGGGCTGCCCTTGAATCTCCTCTGAAATCTGCCCTCCCTCACAATGTCATTATTGGCTTCATGTCATCAAAAAAACAATCAAACATTTTTTTTTTTTATTTTACCTTTAATAAAAGCTGCTCTTATCCCACTTTTGTGGCTGAAAAATAGGAAAACAAAATGCTTGATTGAGGTCACAATGACATCCATTAGCGGCATCCATGTAATCAAGGTTGTTGCATTCTGAAGGTTCTTTTCTGTTTATAAAGAGTTTTCTATTTTTTTTTCATTTTTTTTCTTTTTCTTTTTTATTTTAATAAATTTGTATTATTTTCTTTTTCTGGCCTCGGAGCCAAGGCTGCCGTTGATAATTACTTCTTCTATCTGCAGAGGCTCTACGCGCTATTCAGAATGTTTTCAATGTCGACACTTGCGGAGATGTATAGCGTTTCAGATTTTGTTGATGAGAAAGGTTTCAGGGTTCAGCCTACATTGTCTATACCTGTTTATCTGTCACCGTCCTAATTGTTCTGCCGTAGAATACATGGAGGAACACGCGGGCTGTGAGCGGCTCACATTCTTCTTGGGGGCTTTTGCGGAGCGAAATATAAAAAAAAAAAAAAAAATTGTATTTCAGAGCGTAATCATAAAGGCAGCTTTTTCTATTTAACTAAATACTTCTTGCTTGTTTTTTTCACCTTGTTGACCTTCTTATAATGTTCTATATGGTCGGGGAGGACGCAGATTTTTTTTTTTTTTTTTTTTTGCAGCGAACGGAAGGTCATCTGTAGACAGAGAGAAAAAGTTGGAAAATGCAAAAACAAGTACCTTCAATTTATCTTTTTTTTTTTTTTTTTTTTTTAACAAGGAGGAGCCCCAGCACGCCGAGACGTCACGCCGCCGGATCATGGGGGTCCGGCGGCCACCCTTTACTACCAACTGCACTTAACCCCCTAGGACAGTGGTGGGCAACCTTTTTTTTCAACTGAGCCAAATCTCGCCAAAACCACGATTGAAATTTATTTTGAGAGCCACATTTTTAAAACTGAAAATACATCCCCTATATAGTAATTCATCCCCCATAGTAATTCATCCCCCATATAGTAATTAATCCCCCATATAGTAATTCATCCCCCCTATAGTAATTCATCCCCCATATAGTAATTCATCCCCCATATAGTAATTCATCCCCCCTATAGTAATTCATCCCCCATATAGTAATTCATCCCCCATATAGTAATTCATCCCCCATATAGTAATTCATCCCCCCTATAGTAATTCATCCCCCATATAGTAATTCATCCCCCCTATAGTAATTCATCCCCCATAGTAATTCATCCCCCATATAGTAATTCATCCCCCCTATAGTAATTCATCCCCCATAGTAATTCATTCCCCATATAGTAATTCATTCCCCCCTATAGTAATTCATCCCCCATATAGTAATTCATCCCCCCTATAGTAATTCATCCCCCATAGTAATTCATCCCCCCTATAGTAATTCATCCCCCATAGTAATTCATCCCCCATATAGTAATTCATCCCCCATATAGTAATTCATCCCCCTATAGTAATTCATTCCCCATAGTAATTCATTCCCCCTATAGTAATTCATCCCCCCTATAGTAATTCATCCCCCTATAGTAATTCATCCCCCATATAGTAATTCATCCC